GCCGCCGCCAAGGGGGCCCTGGAGGGCGCCGCGGGCTTCGCGCTCTCGCAGGTGGGCGACCTGGCTTTCCCCCGCTTTGAGATCCCAGCGCAGAGGTTTGCCCTGCCCGCGCACTACCTGGAGCGCTCCCCGGCCTGGTGGTACCCCTACACCCTGACCCCCGCCGGCGGCCACCTCCCGCGACCAGAAGGTACCGACCTCTCTTTGCACTTTCCTTCCCCTTCCCTGCCTGCGCGGGCCGGTCCCACACCCCCGCCCGCGCCCACTCCCAGCGTGGTTCTGGGACCCCGCACACCCGGGGTTGGGCCCCTGCCCCGAGCCCCGCGCCCCGCAGCGCGCGCGCGGGCCCCGGCGTCCAGTCCCACTTGGTGAGAAAAGCGGCGGAGCAGATTCCACGGGTGCAGCGCTGCCCCCCCCCCGAAAGAGGCTGGAGCGGGGCTGGATGGGGACACGGGTAGAAGGAGGAGGAGAACCGGGTGCCCCCCAAGCAGATGGCGAATCTTCCTTGGGGGGCCCCTAGGCCGGGGAGCTGAGGAAGGGCAGCCGTTCCGCGGTCGTCTGCACACCCGCCCTTGGGAGTGGTGGGGGGGGGGTCCCAGGACCCGGGGCCCCTGGTTCTGCCCCGTGGGGAAAGAGGTCTCCTCGGAGGGGGTACTGAGGCCTCGAGGCCTGGGGCTGGGGGGCGCAAGGGGGGCAGCGCGGGTGGAGCCTGCTGCCCGCAGACGCCCCGCCGGGCCTCGCTCACGGCTGTGTCTGTGGGTGTGCGTGTGTGTCCGTCCGTCCGTCCGTCTGTCTGTGTCTCCCCAGCCTCGGAGAAGGCCCTCCTGCGAGACTCCTCTCCGGCCTCCGGTACCGACCGGGACTCCCCCGAGCCGCTGCTCAAGGCCGACCCGGATCACAAGGAGCTCCTGGACTCCAAGAGTCCGGACGAGATCATCCTGGAGGAGAGCGACTCGGAGGAAGGCAAGAAGGAGGGCGAGGCCGCGGCGGGCGCGGCAGGCGCCGGCGCGGGCGGAGCCGGCGCGGGGACAGCGGCGGCGGCGGCGGCGGGCGCCGAGGACTGGAAGAAGGGCGCCGAGAGCCCCGAGAAGAAGCCCGCGTGCCGCAAGAAGAAGACGCGCACGGTGTTCTCGCGCAGCCAGGTCTTCCAGCTCGAGTCCACCTTCGACATGAAGCGCTACCTGAGCAGCTCGGAGCGCGCCGGCCTGGCCGCGTCGCTGCACCTCACCGAGACGCAGGTCAAGATCTGGTTCCAGAACCGCCGCAACAAGTGGAAGCGGCAGCTGGCGGCCGAGCTGGAGGCGGCCAACCTGAGCCACGCCGCGGCGCAGCGCATCGTGCGCGTGCCCATCCTCTACCACGAGAACTCGGCGGCCGAGGGCGCAGCGGCCGCGGCCGCGGGGGCCCCGGTCCCGGCCAGCCAGCCCTTGCTCACCTTCCCGCATCCGGTCTACTATTCGCACCCGGTGGTCTCTTCCGTGCCGCTGCTCAGGCCGGTCTGAGGCCCGAGAGGGGAGAGGGAGGGAGATGCCCGACCACCTTTCTGGACACCCCCCCCCCAGGATGGACTTGGCCAGGCCCAAAGGCGCCCAGATGTCCGGTGGCCTTGGGAACCGTGGCTGCGGGCGGCGGCGCACCGCCTGGCCCTCCCTTCCCCCCCAATGGGTAGCGATTTGTAAGTATTTGCGATGCATTTTTTTTAATGTGTGTGTGCGTGTGCGCGTGCAGTTAATTCATCCCTAATGGATTTGAGGCGCTTCTCCTCTTACTTTTGATTTGGGTTACTGTCAACAGAAAACAGGAAGAAGAAAAAAGAAAGACAACATTCCTAGGTCAACTCTTTCAGCCGAAAAGCTTTTGTAAAATGTAGTCCTTGCCCTGAATTTTCATTTCACCATAGTAGCTCTCTCTCTCTCCCTCTCTCTCTCCCTCCCCCCTCTCTCTCTCGTTTTTATTTTTATAAAAGGAAAAGATGCGCAAAATTTGAACCTCTCTAGGTTCTTTCCCTTTTTCTGTGGGATTATTTTCAGAATCCACAGAAAGAGTCGGTTGGTAATTCTTTTTTTATTTCTGGATTCGTGGGTGTGGTTTTCCCCTTTATGGCCAGTTATCCTCCCCAGTTTTCAGAATCTGAGCCCTGTCTACTAAGAATCACCACGCAGGTCCATTTTCTCTCCCAGAAAGGTCTGTGGCAACTACCCTTTTCATCTGTCTGGCTTTGTGACTGAAGAATTCTCTAGCCAAGTATGTAAAGGGAAGAGACGAAACAGCAGCTACGGAACTCCACATCTGGCCGGGTTGGAGTGGTCTTATTTATTTAGGAGAATTTCACTTGTCAGTAAATTATTATTAATTTGTATCATTATTACTTTGTTCCCTCTTTTGAAATAATTGTTTCTTTCCCTTTTTTAAAAATCTCCTTCCTTTACTTTTTTTGTTGTGGTTCTGCGGGAACTATTGTACTTAGACTTGTGCAATATTGTACAAAATTTTCAGAATCCTGCTCCTTCTTCCATGACGGATGCAGCCCTTTCCACCGTATAATGGCAGTCATTAGTGTAGAAAGAAAATTAAACAGGGGAAAGGGAAAAGAAGAAAGACAGCAAGGCTAGGTAGCCATGCCCAGGGGGGTAAGCTAGACATACCGGAGCGCTTTAAGTGAAGGACAATCAATTTAGGAGAATCTTAACTTATTTGATAAATGTACAGATTTCTTGTAAAATTCTCCCTCAACTCCGCAGGGTTCCTTGCTCTGCTACCCAATCTGTTTTCTTTCTGTCTGCTACACCTGTTGTTCTACAGTAGTTTGCGTCCCCTCTCATCATCCCTAGTCTCCCTCACCTCTGCCCAGGTTTAATCCCTTTTTAAGAAAAAGAAAAAACTCTACAAAATATTGTTACACTTAATGTTGTTGTGAAATTGAATTAATTAAAAAGAAAAGAAAATGGAAGCTTTTCATGTTGCAAGAGTGTATGACTTTGGGTAAATTTTCCCAGAGCAGATGTCTGGGAAACTCCCACCCCCCCCCCCCCCCCTCTCTCTCTCTCTCTCTCTCTCTCTCTCTCTCTCTCTCTCTCTCTCTCTCTCTCTCTCTCTCTGCTACTGTGCTACTCTGCCCTCAACGCACACCCCTATAATCCAGCAGGCGGCAGAGACAGAGGTGGCTTTGTTTGACACCGTGAAGAGGCTCTTTGCCCAGTATCTTCTGTGGCTTGAAATGTCTTAGGAGCAGGGAAGAATGGAGGGTGGGAAGGTAAAGGCCTAGGTTTTCGTAGTTGGAGAAAATGAGCTAAGTGACAGTGGAGCTTAACGACAACCAGTATTTCCGAGTTCAAGGCTGAGGCCTCGCTCTCTTTTCCAAGCCACGGTTCCAGCAGGATCCCAGAGAGCTTGGGGTTAAGAGGTTGCCGGGCTCAGAGTGTGCAGCTCCATTGACCCTACAGGAGTGCCAGAAGCATGATCTTGGAGTGTAGCTTAGCTGGAGGGCAGCCATGGGGGCTAAACAGCGCATGGGTTGGCCGTTCTTACTTTTTGGAGGGGATGGAGACTTCAGCTGAGCTGGGGAACTTCAGCTGTCTGGCAGCTTGACTTGCCAAGTGCCAGGATCAGAGGAAGCCATGATGATCTGGTCCGTTCTTCTGGCCAGACTTGCCCTGCCCATCAGCACTCATGGTCTGGGAAGCAGCCTTTCTGGGACCTCCTGTCCTGACCAACGCCTGTGGCCACCACCCTGTCAGTGGGCAGCCTGTAGAAAAGCTGGTCTGCGGCAAGAAACAGGTGCCTGCGGGCAACCTAACAGCTGGGCATCGCCAGCTGCCTTCAAACCCTAGGGGGTGGAGGAGGGGCCCTGGTGTGCCCACACTCCTGTCCCTAAAGGTTTTAAGAAGCTAGGGAGACCAAAGTGGGTGGCAGTGAAGAAAACGAAAGGCTGAGAAGATTCCAGAGAGCACACAATCAGAGAGCAGCACCGCTGAGGAGCGCCTGCTTGGTCTCCCTTGCCTTCCAATGCATTGCCAGGCTGCTTCCATTCAATGGACACAATTGATTCTACTGTGCCCGAAACGTTGACTGTCCTCTCCCGTTGATGGAAAACTGCTCCTCTCAGCCCAGTAAACCAGCATGGTTAGCCTGGACCGCCAGTAAAGATAGATCTCTATTTCCCTCAGGTTTGGAATAAAAATGAGGACTTGTGTCAGAGATTAAAACTAAACAGAAATTCAGGGTCAAAAATACGTTGTTCCTTGTGTTACCTGCAAACACGGTGATACTTTTCACTGTTGGCAATACTAACTGCAGGACAGGCCAGTAACAGCTCATTAAAAATAATGTTGCAATAGCAAACATGTCCTCAGATTTTACAGCCAGAACGCGATGTTATCAAACAGCCAAGAAAATACTTCTTTATTTGTGTGGATTCCAGAAAACGGTTCCTGACTGACCTGGTCTTTACAAAGTCAAGACATGACTGGTTCTCCACAGGTATAGTTTGGCCTTTGCCCTGCTCCCCCAGGCCTCTCTTTCCCTACTGTTCAGGAGCTTCCCCGCTCCCCAGCAGCACTTCTCCCCAGAGAAAGTGTTTGCGAAGGAAGCATGGAATAGATGGAATAGGAGTGTGATAGTAGGCCTCTAGCGCCTCCAAGCTGGTGCACGTTGGAAAGATCCACTTCCCTCAGGGCAGGTTGGGGTCCTGGTATTTCTCTGCCTAAGGAGCAGTGAAGCTGATCAAAGTAAGAAGTATCCTAGGTTCTTCTCCAGGTGGTTCAGGGCCTTCATGTTACAAGAAGCCAAGAAACCATTCATAGGATGGTCCCATCTGGCGGACATCTTATTCCTCCACCCAAAAGACCCTCCCCATGTGTCTGTAAAGATTTCTGGGAGGTGTGGAGATGGGGGTTGGTGACAATTTCCTAATATTCCTCCTGGACTTTCCAGAAGGGGAAGCCAGGAAGCCAGGACACTGCAGGTCACTGCATCCTTGGCTTGATCCTTCACCTTGTAGAGTCCAACTGTCTCTCTGCTTACTCCAAGTTCTGCTCCTTCTGGATCTACTCCCTACTCAGCCTTCAAGACAAGTGATTCACTTTCATTGCTACATATTTTCTATAGTGCCCAAGCAGACACACGTGCAAACAACCTTGGTAGATTCACACTTAACAACACAAATGCATGTGTGCACATGCACATAGCCTTTCTACTTCTCAACACACACTTAGCCTCCAGCTTCTTGCATGTCCCAGCCACAAATGTGCTTTGCTGTGATGACTAAGGGGTAGACATAATGGCACACTTTGTTCTACCTGATCCTATGTTGCGGATTGTCACCTGGCCCCATCCGAAGGAGAGCTAGAAGAAACTTGGGAGCATGAGTCTCCCCACTCCACACAAAAGCCTGAAGACTCCCCAGCAGATTCACCACACACTGCTTCCTTCCAAGCCAGCTGGTTAAACTAGCTGAGCTGGCCACCATTCGCCCGTCCCCCGCCCCCATCTCCTGTGGCCACATTTAGGTTCCCACAATGCCGGGCTCTGCTGCTCTGAGCAGCTTTGAGCCCCGGGAGACCGCAGAGTCAGCGCACAAATTGTTTCTGTTGGCAACACAGATGTATTTCTTTTATTTGGTAGTAAATAGAGCGGGTGTGTGTACATCAAACAACAGCAAGACAGATATAAACTGCCCCCCTGCCAACTGTGCTCATTCTAAGCAGGACGCCCCTCAGCAGGCCCCTGGCCAGCCTGAGTCAAGAGGCCACGAAGAGAACTCCAGTGGGCCTGCTCTCCTGGCCTGAGAGCCTGGAAGTGGAGCCAGGAGAAGGAGGAGGTAAAAAGGTCTGTGGGATTTGCTTTCTTTTCTGTGGTCACCAGCTTGGCAAGTGAGATGGGGTGGAATGGATTCAAGGCTCTTTAGTCTGAAGACCAAATGCTTTTGGGGAGGCCTTTGGTGATGTCCAGCTCCCCAACTTACATCCATGTCTGTGGGCATGGGACACCTGAGCTCTCTGCCAGGGCTGCCTCGGGGCTGAGCCTTTGCTGGGTGGGACCCTAGTTGGTTCCAAGACCATTTTCCCCACTTCTCCAGGTGATCCATATCTCAGGGGTCCTCTTCCCATTAGAGAGATCTAAACAAACTCCACAGAGCTGCTAGGAAAAGGTCTCTCTACTGGGCCACACATCACCATCACCGGGTCCAGGGCAGAAGAACCTTGAGTTCCCCTGCTCATCACGGGCAGACCCTAGGGACAACGCCCCTTCCCTGAAGCATGGGTCCCTCCCCCTCCCCTTCCAGACACCTGCAAGGCTCCTCCCCTTGGCTTCCTGCCTATTTGCTGCCCCAAACCACACCGAGTCTGCAGTCCTTGCGGGATTCAGCATTGAGCCTGGTGTACTGGAAGTGTGCATGCCTGAATGTGCACCTGCGCGCAGAACAGAAGATGGTGACCTTTTGACCTACAAACAGGGAGAGGAGAGAGAAGCTAAAGAGCTTCCAGAGATAACTAGGTTGAGTGGACTTTGGAGTTCTGCCTGTGACTCCAAGTAGGATTTGGGTTGAGCTTTAGGCTGCATTTGTCTCCTGGTGTGTTTCTCCTGCCCACATACCTTCAAGGAGAACCCTGTAGATAGCTGCAGCCGAGAAATTAAGTTCCAGACTGCAACACATCATAGTCCTCCCCAGAAGCAGGGACTCCACCCCCTTCCACCCACACCATACTCTATACAGCCTCTTTAAAACATCAGGGCAGTTTTAGAGACCAGAAGCCAAGGACAGCTAGTGGCTGCAAAGTTCCTAAGAGTTTCGTGTTGGTTGTACTCGCCCAGATCCTTGGCGTAGCTGCCGCTGTAGGAAATGCGTCTTGGGGTTGGAAATGTCCAAAGTGTGGGTCTCCAAGGTTCTGAAAGAATTCCTCTGGGTTCTGGAGGCTGGAGAGGAAAAGGAGCTGAGGGAGATGTGTGGAGCTAGCTAGAGGGCTCAGGAGAGAGCCGGAAGAGAACACATTTTGCCCAACATTGAGGCCTTTGCAGTGAGGTGGACCTACCTGGTGTGCCTCACCCCAGCAGTCGTGTCTTAAAGAAATATAAAGAATCCCCATCTCCTGCCGCCCTTGCCCCCCTTGGTGATGGAGTGCACGCATCAGATTTTCATCAAAGTTCTATTAAGTGAAACATAGGTTGCAGGGCACCCTTTGATTGAAACAGTTTAAATTTTAATTGTGTTTTTAATTTGACATATAGTTGCAGAAAGGAATGACACTGCGTCGCCAAGGGGCGGTCGATTTTCTTAATTTCTCCCAGAGGAATTGATGAGTCTATCAGGCCACTAGATTGGAAACCCATTAAAGCTCTCTGGTTAGGCTGTTAATTGGAACTTGATGGATGTGGGAGGGGGCGGTGTTGGGCTTCGGCTATGCTGATCCAATCTTCATGACTTTCTGTTTTCCAATAAATTACACAATTCATTTTCCAGCCGCAGATTACATAAATTGTACACCTCTGGGGCTCTCTTTTTCAAATAGGGAGTCCTTTTCCCCAAAAGCCTATTGCACGATGTCATTTGCACCAAAGAACGAACAGCAGAGGCCCTTGAATGAAAATCGAAACATAATCAACGTTTATACTTAGAAAATTTATTGAGATCATTTTCTCTGGTATTTCCTTATTTTAAAGTTTGGACGCGCCATATATCATAATCCACTCGCGTAAAAGGGGGGGGCAGGCTGTGTTTAATATTTATCGAAGCTTGATTCCAAGATCAAACTTGTTTATGACTTCATCTGTCATTTGGAGGGAGCCTTCTTCCACTATTACCGGCTCAGCCAGCCTATTTCCCCACAGCCACAGAGCAGAGAGGATCAATTTTTATTAGGCTCCTTGGCAAGTTTGCTCTGGGCCGCTTTAATATTGAGCAGCGGCATAATCTTGGGACCTAAACTTGAAGCGTTCTCTCAGTCTCAAGAAGTTTATCATTCTTTGGAATCCAGTTATGCCTGATTTTTAGGAAGGTAGGAGGGGGTCACCCCCCCCCAAAGATTTAAGAAGGCCACCTGATAGAGTGTCAGCTACTGAATCGGTGAAGTAAGGAAGCATGGAGCTATTCTGAAGCTGGGGAGTGTTGCGGGGTGGTTTTAGGCTGCAGGATTAGCGTTGATGGTAGAGGGGCTGGGTGTCTGTGGATGGGGTTTTCCATAGGTTTCCTGGTCCTGAGATTGGTAGTTGCTCAGGCCCAGGAGGGTGCGTAAGGTCTCTGTGCTCTCCTGAAGTCTTGGAGCTCCCCAGATGTCCAAAATATGTGGTGTCAGTAGGAGAAGGTCAAGCCTTAACCTTCTAGGCCCTTCCCAGTGACTGCCATAGGTGCTTAGGACTGCAGGTGATCAATCAGTCAAGGGAAGCACAGCAAAGCTAGGACCCACAGCAACAGAGAACTGCCTTCCTGCCTGGGTCTTTGTGCCCACCACCCACTTCTTTGGTCGAGTGTAGCAGCAGCAGCAGTAGTGTAAGTGTATGAGAGTGCAACAGGGCTTATGCAAGCCATGTGCACTATGGCTTAAAGCATGAGGAGTGAGAGGGTTGAGACCCTCAGAGTGTGTGAGGACAGGCTGAAATCCTAGGCCAAATGGCTCCTTTAACTTCCCAATCCTGGGAACAGGAGCAGTAAGCTCATTTGTCTTCACAGGTGTCTGGTTTATAATCCTCCAGCCGGGTTCTTGGAGCTCTGGTCCTTCCTGCCCTACCCTCAATCACTTGCTGTTCTTGGGCCTAGGAACTGTTTCTCCTAGGTGGGTCTATCAGGCGGGGCTGAGGTCACTTCTTTGGGCTCTCTACCTCAGCCTTTCACCTGCCCCCAGCCCTCTCCTAACTGCTAGCATCTTCTGCCTTTTCCACAGCTCTTCTTCAGGCTCAGTGTCAACACCAGTCTTCTTCCCTTTACTCTGTGTAGAGATCTCAACAGTCTTGCTTTGCTCTGCCAGGATTGCCACTTTCCTCCTTGAGCCTCGATTTGCCTTGTCTGTACAATGGGAGTGAAGATCACATTTGCTGTGAGGATCAAAATTAAGAATGAGGCGCCCCTACTGGGACCCAAGTACTTCCTAGGTTAGAAATGTTTCTGCCAACTCTCTCCCCTTTGCACCCTGGCTCTGCTCCGCAGGTTGGCCTGGGTTCTAGTCCCCGAGACGACACCAGCTGAGGGGCGAGGGGGCTGCAAGAGGCCACAGGTTAGCGCGGGAGTTGGACCCTCCTTTCCTGGAATCTCTCCCTCTACCCCGTAACCGCGCCCCGCAGTGACCAGGCCCGGGGAGCCTGCGCTGGCATGGCGCAGGAGAGGACGCACAAATTGTATTTCAGCGCCGGGTCCTTCCGGGTTAATGAGCTGACACCATGATTAAAGCTGACCATTTGTAATGTGTCTCGACCCCACCGCCGAGCCCTGAAGAGGTTAATGTGGTGACGGAGGCCGGCACCTGCCCCTCGCCGGCCTCCCGGTCCCCGCCCCGCTCCCGGCTGCGCGGCCGACCCCTAATCAATTAGCCCATTAACGAGCCCTTGCAGGAGTTAAGTAGGCAGAGTTCTGCCAGGGGCAGGGCTACAGTCGGTAACTCACCGCGGCTAATGATATTATAAGCGCTTTACTCCATAACCCGGGAGCGGCGCGGGCTCCGAAGGAACGGCACCGTCACCGTGCGGAGTCCGGACGCGTGCGGGGCGCGGGGGCGGGGGCGGGGGGCAGAGTCCCCAGTCCCTGCTCACTCTTGGCTGCTTGCTTTTGCGGGTGCGCCTTCAGGGCAGGGCTCCGAGGGGCCCGAGGCCTCGGGGTGGGGGTGCAGGGGGTGCCTTCGTCTGGCTCCGTCCCCCCCAAAAGCTTGTGTGGGCAGCAGCCGCCCCCGCCCCGCCCCGAACCTTTCTCCAGTGCTGAGATGATTCTCGGGTCTGGAACGAACGATCTGGGAACTAAAGAAGCCAGAGGCAGGGGTTTGCAGGGAGCCCTGGGAGGGTCGGGGAGAAGCCGGTGAGCCGGGCCCGCCGGGGCCTCGGCGAGGCCGGCATTCCGCCCAGAGGGAACCGGAGCTCTCAACGTTCGACCGTCCGTGGCCACCCCGGCCACGTCTGAACGAAGCCCCATCCCCACAGCCCACGTCCCCTTCTCCTTTCCAGGACGAACTACTCCTCCTCCTCCTCCTCCTCCTCCCCTCCTCCTCTTCCTCCTCCTCTTCCTCTCCTCCTTCTCTTCTCCTCCTCCTCCTCCTCTTCTCCTCCTCCTCCTCCTATTTTCCTCCTCCTCCTCTTCTTCCTCCTATTTTCTCCTCCTCTTCCTCCTCCTTTTCTCCTCCTCCTCTTCCTCTTCCTCCTCCTTTTCTCCTCCGTCTTCTCCTCTTCTCCTTCTATTACTATTACTATTATTATTATTAGCAATCCTGACCCCTGCGATGCGTACCCAAAATGAAGTTCGCTGGTCGCCTGGCCAGGCGGACGGCTGGCCCGGGGTCAAGGTTTATTCAGGAAGTCCTGGCCTCGGCTGCCAGCGCTGGGTGGGTGATTTTTGCCCCCCCCCCCGTCCCAGTCGGCAGCTGAAGCGATCTTCACGATAGGGGAAGGGAGGGACGCCACCCGAGGGCAGAGAAGCTTCGAGGGAGACAGACCTGTGCGCGCCGACACGGTGGAAACGGAGGTGTCGGGCCTCGAACCGGGCGATCTTTGACTCGAGACCTTGTGGCCTGTGACAGGGGTGGGGGGCGCAGGCAGTGATGGGAGAGAGCGTCCGTCCGAGACCCAGGCTTTGAACGCACCCCACCCCACCCCACGCGGGCCGGTGACAGCCGTGCCTGTCCCACGGGGAGGGGGGGGCTGGTGAAGGACTCGGCGGGGTGGACAGCCAGGCGGAGCCCCTAGGAGGTGCCAGGTTCCGTGGGCTTTGGGGACGTGCGGGTGCACGATGCCCCAAGGCACGATGCGCCTTGTCCTTGGAGAGGCTGAGGTCCCAGGCACGGGCCCAGCCCAGGAATCCAAGCTGGCATGGGTGGAGCGCGTTCTGCCCAGATGTCCTCGGACCGACCGAGGCGACGCCCGCCGGGGTCTCGGGGCGCCGGGGAGCGGCGCCCGCCGTGCACGCCCGGCTGGGGCTTTTTTTCTTTTGAAAAATTCCGGGGCCGCTCGGCGGCGCTGCGATTGGCCGCGTTTGGGGAGGGGGGAACCTCTATGCAAATGAGGCCGCGCCGCCCCCCCCCGCGCCCGCCCGGGCCCCGCGAGCCACCCCGCGGCGGGGAAGGGGCGTCCACACCCGGCGGGGCGGGCTCACCTGGAGCCGCGCGGGCGGCGAGCCCCGCGCGTCCGTCTGTCCCGCGCCCGCGCGTGTCCCCCGCACGGAAGGGACGCCGCGCCAGGCTCGCAGCCCCCTCCCTCCCCCACCCCCCACCCCGGACTCTCCCCGCCCCTCCCCTGCCCGCCCGCCCGCCCGCAGCGTCTTCTCTAAAGGGAGTTCTTGGTTTCCTCCGATTTCTTATGAACCCAGGATGGGAAGCAAGGAAGATGTGGGCAAGGGGTGTCCGGCGGCCGGCGGCGGCGTCTCCAGCTTCACCATCCAGTCCATCCTGGGCGGGGGCCCCACCGAGGCACCGCGGGAGCCCGCCGGCTGGCCGGCCAGGAAGCGCAGCCTGTCGGTGTCCTCGGAGGAGGAGGAGCCGGACGACGGCTGGAAGGCGCCCGCTTGCTTCTGCCCAGACCCGCACGGCCCCAAGGAGCCAGGCCCCAAGCACCACCACCCCCCTATTCCTTTTCCTTGCCTGGGTAAGGATCGCACGCCGCCAGCCGGGCCGCCCGAGGGGAGCGAGGCTGCGCGGCCCCCGCCCAGGCCCCTGTGCCAGGTCCCGTCGGTCACGGCTGCAGTCGCTGGGGGTCCCGGGCCGAGGGGAAGGAAGGGGGCGCGCGTGCCCCAGGGCCTCCTAGGCCCGGCAGGCGCTCGGGCAGGAAGGGGAGGGGTGGAGGGAGACACAGACCCCGCACAGCTGGGGCCTTTGGGGAGGAGGGGTCGGGCTGGAGAGGGCGAGTGGACCGCCGCGGACTGGGCCCGGGGCGGGCGGGGCCCACGGCTCAGGCCCCTGATCCCCCGTTTTGCACACGGAATACTTTCGTGCGGGACACGCGCGGTCTGCGAGTGAGGTCTGCGCGTTGCGTCTGTGCCGCAGCGTCTTTCCCTTCTTCTCCTGTCTCCTCGAAACAAGTAGCAGCACTCTACCGTGATTGACAGTGCTGTGTCTCAGAGTCCTCTTACCTCGGATGAAGTCCTTAGGCTGAGATTGGCGAACAAACGGCCCGTGAAAGGATGCCACCCCTATAAGGCTGGAGGAGGCAAAACCCCCACGGGTTCGGATGGCTGTTACTGGTGCCCCCACCCCCAGGCCTCTTCCACCTGCTGCTGCCTTTAATAAAGGTGGAGGCACGGGGAGGGGTGGGTCCCAGCATCTGGGAATCTCTAGGTCCCTCTTCCGTTGCTTTGGAAAGGCCAGGGAGGGGGGGCGGCATTTGGTTGGCATCTGGATGCTAGAGAGAGGAGGGCAAGGAGAGGTTTGGTAAAGCAAAAAAAAAGAAAAAGGGAAAAAGCGGGCCCGGCGTTGCAGGCGTCTGTTCCTCTCCTAAGCCTCCATTCGAGCCGGGGAGCTCCGGGGCTCTTTTAACTCCAAGGCCTTCCCGTCTGCTCTGCTTCCCTAGGTCCCCCCAAGGGCGGCGGCGGCGGCGCGGGGCCCGCGGGCTCGGATCGCACGCCTTTCCTGTCTCCTTCGCACCCGGACTTTAAGGAAGAGAAAGAGCGGCTGTTGCCGGCGGGTTCGCCCTCGCCCGGGCCCGAGCGGCCCCGGGACGGCGCGGCCGCCGAGCGGCAGGCGGGCGCGGCCAAGAAGAAGACGCGCACGGTGTTCTCGCGTAGCCAGGTGTACCAGCTCGAGTCCACCTTCGACATGAAGCGCTACCTGAGCAGCTCGGAGCGCGCCTGCCTGGCCTCCAGCCTGCAGCTCACCGAGACCCAGGTCAAGACTTGGTTCCAGAACCGCCGCAACAAGTGGAAGCGGCAGCTCTCGGCCGAGCTGGAAGCGGCCAACATGGCGCACGCGTCGGCACAGACTCTGGTGGGCATGCCGCTGGTGTTCCGGGACAGCTCGCTGCTGCGCGTGCCCGTGCCGCGCTCCCTCGCCTTCCCCGCGCCCCTCTACTACCCGGGCAGCAACCTCTCGGCCTTACCGCTCTACAACCTCTACAACAAGCTGGACTACTGACTCGCCCCGCGGGCGCCCGCTCCCCGTGCGCCCCGCCGCCGCTTCCAGCTGCCCTCCCTCTCCACCCCTGCCTGCCGCTGATCCGGGCGGGCGGGGAGAGGGGAGACGGGGGCGGGGGCGGGCGCGGGCTGCACCTGTCCACGGTGCTCCGGAGCCAAGCGGCATGTTTCCAGAAATCTTAAGAAATACACCATGTGTATTCGTTAATTTACCTCTTATTTATGGCCTCTGCCCTGCTTTGTTGGTTTGTGTTTGTGTCGGGTATTTATCCACAGGCCTCGTGCCAGATCGCCTGCTTTCTACCCAAAACCAAACCGAGACGCGCGGGGGAAACCCATTCTGCACAGGGGTGTTTTCTAGAGGTGCGGCGAGAAAGCGAGTTTGCCCCCCCCCCCGATCGGCTTTGGCTACTAGAGGGCCAAAGAATCAGACGAACATCAAGTTAACCAGACATACCCCTTCTCCCCTCCACGCGTACAGCGGCTTGTCTGTAACCCCGCCAGGCCTTCTGCCTGGCCGGGCCCTCGGGAGTGGGGAGGGGGGGCTTTGGACGCCGATCTGACCGTCTCTTTTCGTTTCCTTCCTCCTGAGGATGGGGAGGGGCGAGATAGAGTTCGGATCTGTAAATATTTTTAAAGAGAAAAGAAAATAAACACATTTTAAACATCTTTGCTAACTCTGGAGGGGTCGATTGCCCTTCATGACAACGCACAGGAGGTGTTCAACGCGCTTTTTTGGTGCTTTTTGGTGGCAGAGTGTGCCGGTATTTCTTAAAGGTCGGGTTCTGGTGTTGCTGGTGGCCGGGGTTAAAGCAGTGCTCCACGTCGCTCACTGGGGAGGGAGGATGGCAGGTAGCTGGGGCCTGCTCTCCCCTACCCTTCCAGGGCCCGCGAAGGATCGTGGCGCGGGCTGGGGCGCGCGCTCTGGGTGCCATCCAGACTTAGACTCGCGCCAGGAAAGACGAAGGCGGGGAACAGGCCTGGCTGCTGAAGCTGCCGCCTTCCAAGTGAGCCGGGTGGGGACGCGAAAAACGTCTCTCCCCCGGCGCTGGGCTCGCTGGGGGGTTGGCTCGAAGCCCGCTGCGCCACGACGCGGCCCCGGCTGGGCCTGCGCCTCCTCCGCTCCTCCCGCGCTGGGCGAGCAGCGAGCGCGGCGACCGGCGCGTTTCTCCGGCAGCGCTGCCCAACCGGCTCGCAGCCACGCACCAGCTCCCAGCGACACAGTTGCGCGGGAAGTGACCGTGGACAGGAAACGAAAGGCGCTTCTTTGGTGGCTAAGTCTGCATTGGGAGAGTCTGATCACGCCATCGCTTTTTTTTCTGCATCGAATCCTGAAGCCAGCGGGGCGAAGGCGCCCTGGGACGGGCAGTGGCTAGACACGCCCGCAGCTTTGACAGGGCTGAGAGCGCAGGTGAGGGCTTCTCTGGGGTTAGGCTGGAGGAGCCACCTGTTATTTATTGTAAGGCGTCGGAAATGAGCAGCTGAGCCGGGCAGAGGCGAGTGGTTCGCACCACGTGGGGCGAACGCCGCTCACCCCGCTCCGGTGCAAGCCTGGTCACAGGGGCTGCAGCTGCGGCAGCGCCCGGGACCGATCTCAGTCTTTAGATGGGAGACAGACTGGTCTCTTGAAGCCAGCATCGAGATTATCTGAATTTTATGGTGATATGCTGACAGAGAGAGCCCTAGGACGCGCTTTGAGAAACTACACTATTATTTTGGGTGGGAAGACGGGAAAGTGGTGTGGTCCATTTATTTCTGATTTATTGTATACCTATATTTTATTTCCCTGAAGTTCTCTCACTCCTCTAAGGTTATTATTCGAGCATTTCTGGAGAAACGCTCAAATTACTCCAGAGAAACTTCTTGTATAGGAATGCTTCACTCCTATCAGTTTTTATTTTGGGGCCCGTATTTTAGTAGATTATCGTTTGATCACTTTTTTTTGAGGGGGAGGTGCCAGTACTGGAGCTTGAACTCAGGGCTTGGACAATATCCTTAGCCTTTTTGCTCAAGGCTAGCACTCCACTTAAGTAAGCCATAGCTCCACTTCTGGCTTTTGGTTTGGGGTGGGGGTTAATTAATTGGAGATAAGAGTTTCAAGGACTAGCCTGCCTGGGTTGTCTTCCAATGGTCATCCTCAGATCTCAGCCCCCTGAGTGACTAGAATTAGAGGCAGGAGCCATAGTGTATGGCTTGATGTGTGTGTGTGTGTGTGTGTGTTCTGGGGCTTGAATGCAGAGCTTGCATGCTGTCCCTGAGCTTCTGTGCTCCAGTCTTGTGCTCTACCACATTTAGCCACAGCTCTATTTCCATGTTTGGGGCAGTTAATTGGAGAAAGGAGTCTCAAGGACTTTCCTGCCCCTGCTGGCTTTAAACTGTGATCCTCAGATCTCAGCCTCCCAAGTAACTAGGATTGCAGCTGTGAGCCACCAGCTTGATGATGATGAATAGTATGGGGTCGCATATTCTCTTGAGGCTTCCTTCTCTTATAGGAAGTGTTTTCCTCTAATCATCATAAGCCCTTAATTGTAGAGTGAGTTTACCCTTAACACTTAGGAATTGACCCCTTTCCAGTTCATCGTATGTAGCGATTTTACCGTTTTTACTAGCCCAGTAATTAGCAGTCATTGGTGATATAACAGTGCAATTAGTTTCTCGGAATGTCTCTCTCTTACAGGTAACTATTACATACACGAACACACACAACTTTGTATTTAAAATGTTGTTCAAGACTCCCATTGTTGCTAGATTTCCTATCTCAAGCCCATCAATTCATTTGAATAATCAGCGAAGTCATCGGTCTCCCTTCAGCCTCTAAACTAGATTTAAAAGATTGACGTTTCTTAAAACTGAAATCGAGTCTGGCTGCAACTACATGCCCAGAGGGACCTGAATCATACACACACTGGATAATGAAATACATTTAGATTTTATTAACGGGTAATTTATGCTTAGAATCTCGAAACACTAATGCAATTAAACAACTGGGAAAGAGAACAAAATAAGTCAGGAGATAAAATTATTTAGCTAAAGTTAGAATGGAAATAGGGCACTGCGTTTAAAATTTTTGAACTTTGTCATTAACGTTTCACACCAATGCAATAAGCACAAGGGTTGCTTTGTGTATGTTTATTGTCTAGAGTCAGAAGAGGTGCATCCAACTCATAGTGTGTCAGTGTCTAATAATGTTTTCTTTTTAATATACCTCAAGATTTAAATACTTTAATCCTATCAGTTGCCTCCCACTACAAACAAAATCACATAATGACTGCCTCTAAAATAGACAGAGAAAAAGAGATTACATCATGGAGTTCAAAGGGTAAATTTGTCACTAAATTCTAGTGATTTGGTATTGCTTTTCTTTCACGGAGTAAAAAATTTCTCATTATTGAAGTAGCTTTCTTGATTCTCCTTTTTCTGGGGGATTCTAGAAACAGAAAATGCTGGCATGGTGGTACTGAGAGGCTTATTGCTGTCACTTTAGGATGTGGAGATGCATATATCTCTGTAAGAATCTACTTGGTCTTTAAACCACTGCAGAATATTTGTTTCTTCATGGAGTTCTTTCCAAGGGCTGGTTTAATCAAATGTATCTCCCCAGAGCCTCTCACCAGGCCTGGAATAGGGTGGTGTGGAGAGTTAAGTACGAGTTTCTATAAGGTCAGTAGAACTTAAGACAATGGGAAACGCGATGCCCCGAATCTTTGGCGCAAACTCCAAAAGTGAGAAAAGAAATGAGGCAAATAGTGCAGTGAACAAGAACAAATATTTTTCTTTCAATAGTTAAGTTTTTTGGTTCACTTCTCAGATGTATGCCCGCCCAGAGGAGAGAAGAATTTAGTCTTAGCAAACGGTTGTGTCTGAGTCACTGAGGGCAGGGTGCCATGAACAGAACTGGGAAAAAGAAAACAAAAACAATAAACACCCCATCTTTCCCTCTAACTATTCAGAAGACAAGCAGGGTGGTGGCCCCAGGGAGACTACATCTCCCAGCTCACTGAGCGCGGGCGTGGGAGGGAGCGAGTCCCGCCTCAACGCGAAGCACCCTGGGAGTTGTAGTTTTGTAATCGCTCTAGGGTCTCACGGTCGCAAGGCGAAACCACGTGATCAGAAAAGCCAGGATTTCCCTTTGAGCCGGAACAGAAAGACTGCGACGACTGATTCAGACAGTAGAACGGACCAATTGGCTTCCTGGAGTGAGCCGTTGGCGTTTGAAATCAGCCAATGGCAGGCCCGTACCGGAGTTTCCTCTCCGCCTCCTTCGCCCGGCCCGAGTGCGTTCGGAGGGAAGCCAGGAGGCGGCTGCAGCGGCTGGAGATTTGAGACGCTACTTCAGCGGGGAGCCCAAGGTAGGCGCGCGCGGCGGCGGGGCGCAGTAGCGGACTCTCCGCGGACCCCGGTCTGCAGCCGGGGACGGGGGGCTGTCCGCCGGGACCGCGTCTCGCTTCCATCCTCTTTCGAGAGCGTTTGGGGCCGCGAGCTCCGGTGGCGGGGAGGAGGCGGGCCGTGGCCGCCGGGGTTAGCGGGCGGGCGATGCGGGCCGGGCGGGTCGGGGTGGGAACGCGCTGGGCCGGGCCGGGCCGGGGCAGGTTGGGGCGGGGCGCGGGGGGAGCGGGACCGGGACCGGACGGCGCGGGGCGGGACTTGACCGTGGCGGGCTTCGGCCTGCGCAGGCGCAGACCTCGTTGGACTCGCTCAGGCTCCCCCACCCCCCAGCCCCAGCCTGCGTGCCCCGCCTGTCCCTCGATCCCTAGTCCCTGGGGCGACGCTGACTGGTCATTTGTTGTGCGTAGATGACAGGTTCTAACGAGTTCAAGCTGAACCAGCCGCCCGAGGATGGCATCTCCTCGGTGAAGTTCAGCCCCAACACCTCCCAGTTTCTGCTGGTCTCGTCCTGGGACACGTCGGTGCGCCTCTACGATGTGCCCGCCAACTCCATGCGACTCAAGTACCAGCACACCGGCGCCGTGCTGGACTGCGCCTTCTACGTAGGTGGCTTCCGTGTCTGCCCCCGCCTTACACGGTGTGAGCCTGGGCCGAGCAGGCTCGGGTGGGAGGCCGCTTAGGGGAACTCAATGGGACAGCTCTTTAGATGTTCTGGAACGCCTGTCTTGGACCAGGTGCCAACTCAGTCTGTTTGGTCTGGATTTTGCATTGGGGAGATGCAAGCTTTTATCGGATGCTTTCGGGTTTCAAGAATAGGCATAGGTCAACTTTCTAGACATGGGGTAATGGTACTTGAAATTTGCAGCAAGACCAATTTGACTTCCATGTTAAAAACAACTTCTGGAAGAAATGGCTGTTTAAGTGCTGGCTGATCGGTGTAAAACAGCCAAATCGCTATTGTGACTACATGCCTACTGGTTTTTTTCAGTCTATTCTTTTGTTTATTTACAAAGATGGTTGGTTATTCGATACCCTGAGTTTCATGAACAGTTGGCTGCAGAAATAGAGTTTTGACATACTATCTAAAGCTATGTAACTTTTAAATGTTTCATAACTTTAACTTTGTAGGATCCAACACATGCGTGGAGTGGAGGATTGGATCATCAGTTGAAAATGCATGATTTAAATACTGATCAAGGTAAAGTGGCAACTTTTTTTAAAAAAATCAGATTTTTGTTACTAGGTATTATAAGTGTTTACTTAGAGACAATATTAGTTGAATTGCTTAGTTACTAAGGTGCTTAGGGGGAATTCTTGTGGTTGAATTCTGGGCCTTTTTGTTTAAATTATAATCATTCAGTGTACCAGAAAACATTGTACATGTGTTGTGTACCAGAAAACATTGTACATATGTTTTTGCAGTAAAATCAACATTCTAAGTGTTTTAAAGAAAATGATGGGTGTTTGTCTTTAGACATGGATAGAGTCTTGTAGTGGTTTATGATTCATTATGGTTTTCCAAAACAGGTTGAATGTTTTAAGGTTGTCTTTTTAGAAGCTAGTTTAAATTGGAGGAGGAAAGTCCTCCAAAAAGAAATCACCCACAACATAGTAATTATGTTCATATTAGTCTTGCTTGTGTACTTATCAGTGGAATTTGTTTCATCTCATTAGAGGCCCAGATATAAAATGACTGGCCCAGTTTGTTTGTTTGTTTTTATCACATTGAGGTAGAGATGGGAATGGAACTCATATGTACACTGAGTGCTCTGAACTGTTGTTTATCCTACATTAGACATAGATACTCTTAAAGGAGATGCCAGGTCACAGATAACTACACATAAGGTAGAGTTGAACAATGGGAGAATAGATGGAAGATGGCACAAAGTGCCCAGTCAGCAGAGGCTTTTGCATAGAGGTACTTCCCTATGTAACTTAACTGCCTAGATGTGGTTTGGCTTGCCAGTAACTTACCTTTTATAATAAATTATCTTTTAGGTTTAATTATTAATAAATTTAAATATTTAATAAATTTAAATAATTAAATTATCTTTTAGGTTTATTCAAAAGTTTAGGAAATAATATAATTATAAATTGTAGCTTAAGAGAACTGTTACTTATATGAAGACCATTTCAAACTTCATGAGATAACTTTTGTTTCTTGTGTCAATGTTATACTGTTAAAAAGTTACATTATTAAGACTCAGAACTTCTTTATGCATGCATGTATGCATGCCTGGGAATTGAATCCAGTGTTTTGAAAGTGCTCTAGTCTTAAGCTGTATTCCCTAGCCCTGTTCATTCATTTGTGTATCCTTAGATTACATGGGTTTTGGCATATTGGCAATAATTAACTAAATAAATGGGATATTGTAAAGGTTGAAACTGGTAGGAAGTAAATTATGCATTATAAATTTGACCTACTGTGAAAAACCAAGTGGAATAATTGAGACAATTTATTTGGGCTTGAGTACATTGAATTGAAAGACTAAATAATTGAAACCAAACATGAGCAATTAAAAGTCACATCAGAAAGGGACTTTCATGCAAAAGCCTCTGCCCATCTCTAATAGTCCTGTAACCACATAAATAACTTGCTTTCTGGTTTTTTTCCCTTAGTTATCATTAGCTTAATGTTTAAGAGAGCTGAGAGTTGCAAAGATACAGGAGACCAGAGTTCTTTCTCTGCACATTTATTATTATTCAACAGGTATTCTTGAACACCTGGCATGTATTGAGTCTTGCACGAGATATAAGCAGAGAGAGATTAAACAAGATTCTTGGTGAGAAAATCTAGAATCAGTGAAGAAATTAGCAGACATGCCATCATTTTAATGCAATTAGAAATTCAAGGTAGTCTTTGGTAATACGTTATGTTAGTGAATCAAACTATGAAGTGTAAGTGAATAGAGAGGAAAGGATAACTTCTTGTAGTCATGGAGAGACTTCTGTATGCAGACATTTCTGTGGAGTCGAATGAGACATCATAGTTGAATATTCCTTTAGTTTGTTAAGTTGAAGAATCTTTGTTTAATTGAGATAATAAAGCCAGGTGTTACTTATTTTTTTTCTCTTTTTCCTATAGAAAATCTTGTTGGAACTCATGATGCCCCTATCAGATGTGTTGAATACTGTCCGGAAGTGAATGTGATGGTTACTGGAAGTTGGGATCAAACAGTTAAATTGTGGGATCCCAGAACTCCTTGTAATGCTGGAACCTTCTCTCAACCTGAAAAGGTAAGATTTTTATATTCATAGACTGTTGAGGGTGAAATTGGTTATTGTTTCATGCTAAGTGAAAAGGTTGTATGATCTGAAGCTTTAACTGTTCTCATATATATATATATATATATGTATTTTGTATGTTTCTATGTGTGTATATATATACATATGTGTGTGTGTGTGTGTGTGTGTGCGCGCGCGCGCGCATGCTGATCAATGTAGTTTGGAGGCCTTTTGTATTATTCTAACCTTTTGATCTGTGTGAGGAAAGTGAGAATTCTAACTATTCTTATCATACTTTATCAGATGGTAGTTAATTTTAAAGATCAATGATTTTAGCAGTTTAAAAATGTTTCCTTGGTGTAAATATGCTATTCAGTTCCTGTTAGCCATCATTATATACAGTAGTGCATCCAAAGAGCCATTATTTTTGTCACATCACAGTCGGATCTACTCCTGGCAAGACCTTTGTTCAGAATAAAATAATTGCATTGTTTCTAGTTTTGATTTATGGTTGTATGTAACATGTTAAGAACTGTGATAAATTGCTGACAGAATATCATATAATGGACAGCCACACTGAATCAAGCTGCTTATTGGTTCAGCAAGGTTCATTATGTCACTTTTTTTAATACTTTCTTTGATAAATGTATATACCTAGTCAGTAGCATGACAGTAGTTTCCTTTGATTTATGATCAGTGGGGATAGAAAGCACCATTAGAAGCTTGTGTGTCACCTGTATAGTAGAGATTTAAGGTAAAATTTTTGATATGATTGTACCATTATAAATTGATCTTTCTGGATTCTGTTTTGAACTTTGATACTTCATACATCTTAGGTTAATTTTCATTTTTCATAAAACATTTTGTTCTCTGATAAGAGTATGCAAATATGCAAACATTAAATATTTCCTATCTTAATTCTCATTTTTTTTTTAGTCACCTTATTTACTAAATTGTAAGTCAAACTGTAGGGTCTGCTGTTGTGACATTTCATTATTACCTAAGTTTTTTTTTTTTTTGCCAATGATTTAAAGTTGGCATGCTAGTGATTATTAATGTTATGGTGTAATTGCTAAGTGTTAAGCGATTACTTACCATATCATAGAGCATCTATATTTTTAATAGCAATTCTTCAAAGTTGGAAATATTGGGTTAGATTACAGATGTTTGTTAAAAGAAAATAATAACCTTGGTTATGACCTTAGGTCAAGATTTTGTTTTATAATTTAATCAGGAAAAATTTGGTACCTCTTGTCTCCAAATATTATCTAAAATTAGCCACCAAATGCTTGCGGGTAAACTTGTTATTTAATATCAAGTAGTTTTTGTGGAAGTTTAAGTATTTCCCTATAAGGGGCTAAAGTGCTTAAAATTTTTTTTTTCCCTAAAGATGAACTTGTGTCTTAAATACTGAGTGTGATGGCCTCAGATGTGGTTAGCCTTGCTGTATGCCATTGTCACCCTCTTTCTGGTGTTGAGCTTGTGCCACCAAGAGCAACTAAAGTGCTTGTTAAGGATAGTGCCTTCCTGCCTCTCAGAAAAGCTGGGAGTTACAGAATGAAATCTGCTTCCCAAAGGTGGTCTCATAGAAAAAAGTAATTATTTTGTGTAAAGTAAGAGGTTATTTAAAGGGGTCTTGAATTTTATGGTTTTGCTGTCTCATTTTGAGTTTTCCCCTTTCATGTCTCTAAGTGAAATGAGGAAGCTGGGAAATTTTTATTTTTTAATAAAGAGCATTAAGTCTTTAAAGTACTTCTGTGGACTTAATTAGAACATATTTTATATGATGCTTAGTGAAGTGTTAAGAATATTGCGGGCTTGCTATTTTGTGTGAGTGATTTCACACAGTATCTAACATTGGTACCTGTGTTTTCTTAGGGTTTTATGATTAAATGGACTTTGTGGTCAAAATGCCGCTTTCAGGATATAGATGAATTGTAGCACCTTTTGATCTCTCCTAAAAGGTGTATACCCTCTCAGTGTCTGGAGACCGGCTGATTGTGGGTACAGCAGGCCGCCGAGTGCTGGTGTGGGACTTACGGAACATGGGCTATGTGCAGCAGCGCAGGGAGTCCAGCCTGAAATACCAGACACGATGTATCCGGGCCTTCCCAAACAAGCAGGTACTGATCTCGTATTCAGTGATTTGACCATTACCTTTAGAGCTTTTTTTGTGTGCTGGTCCTGGTGCTTGAACTCAGGGCCTGGATGCTATCCCTGAGCTTTTTTGCTGAAGATTAGTGCTCTGACACTGGAGCCACTGGTCTTCATCTACTTTTGTAGGTATTTCAGCTTGAAAACTTAGAAACCCCCATGCATGATGCAAAGGAGTGGCATTGATCAAGGTGAATTGTACTCATAATTGGTATCCTGAGTTTGATCTCTGTATATTACTTGAAGATGATGAAAAAATACAAATACAAATCAAACTTAGACATCAGTGAATTGAATCTGGAAGTTCAGGTTAACAGAATTTGCTGTTTTTCTTTCCCTTTTGGAACAGCAGGGTTTTCCTTTGTAGCCCAGGCTGTCCTGGATCTCGTGATCCTCCTCCCTTAGCCACCCAAATGATGGGATTACAGGTGTGTACAGCCACACATACCTGGCTTTTTTTTTTTCCTTGGTTTTTGTAACCGTGATACTCATAGATTTCGTTTCTCAATTATAGAATTAGATGCAATGCTCCTCACAATACTGGTGGGGTTTTTTTTTTTTTTTTGTTTGATTTTTGGTGGTATTAGGGTTTTGAACTCAGGGCCTCAATTTACTAGTTAAGCACTCTGCCATCTGAACCATGCTCTCTGATTTTTGGTGGTATTAGGGTTTTGAACTCAGGGCCTCGATTTACTAGTTAAGCACTCTGCCACTTGAGCCATGCTCTCAGCTCTTTTTGGCTTTTGTTATTTTTCAGTAGTGTCTTGACTTTTTGCTAACTGCCAGCCTTAGACTTTGATGCCTCCTACCCTAGGCCTCTTGAAAGCTAGGATTACAGTCATGGGCACAGACATGTCCCACGCTACCTGGCTTGTTAGTTGAGATAGATTCTTGCTAAGTTTTTGCAACTAGTTTTGGGCTGACTTTGGAACCACTATCCTCTGGATCTCTACTTCACTAGTACTGGGATTATAGGGCGACCTGCAGAGTCCAACTGAGACTGCCTCTAGGATCTGCGGAGTGACTCTCCTATCATCACTTAATGAGATTAACTTGTTCTTTATTCTTTAGGGAGCTCACTTCTCACCTGGTCCTTAAAGTTGTAAGGGGACCTGGTTGAGGGGTCAGTGGTGATAAGAGTTTCGTAAGGGGAAAAATCATTCTAAACAGCAGGTATGTTTGTAATCATGGCTCCTCTCTGGGCCCTTTGCCTCAGAAGTCTAGTACCTTAGTGTGTCAGTGTAGCTTAAGTGATAAAGCATTGGCCCTGGGTTCAACTCCTAGTACTACAAAGAAAACCCCCAAACCATAAACAACAACAATTTTTAATTTAAAGGAAATGGTACATTACCATTGAAGATAAAGAATTAAGTGAAATTTAAAGAGACTTAAATGTGATTAAAATATGCTTATGTTACATAAAGTGTTTGTATGTTTTTATATCTGAAGTTTTCTGTGGATCTACCTTTACTTTATAATGGGAGTTTAGGGTTTTCCTGAATTCTTTTCCTATAAGTAAATTAGGGATAAACTTTATCTTGAAGATATAAAACATTTCTTATTTAGCATGTTATTTCTCTTGTTTTTATAACATGTTGCCATTTCAGGGAAGTATAAGGAAAGGCTTGAAGTGATAAAAGGCTTGAAGTGATAAGCCTCTGGGGCTTGAACTTAGTACTGCCCCTTCGCTCTTTAATTCAAGGCTCACGCTCTACCACCTAAGATGGCTGCACTTCTGGCCTTTGCTGGTTAATTGAAGATACGAATCTCATGAACTTTGCTGCTCAGCAGGCTTTGAACCTTGATCCTCTGATCTCAGCCTCCTAAGTAGCCAGGAGTAAGCCACCAATACCTAGTTGTAAACCATTTTCGACTGTTTCTGATTTTTTTTATTTTTTCCAAACCTGACTAGCTATAGTAAATGTAGGAGGTAGAGCGCCTGAGATGGAAGACTGGTGTTTTGGTCGATTTGGATTATTGATGCTCCCAGTGAAGGAAACACAGTTCTTACAGTTAGAGATGTAGAAGCCATTGAATGTAGACTATATTTTAACTGAGGGAACAAATTTGAATCTTCTTCTAGACAGGAAACAAGATACTAAAATACTTCGATTTCCTTATTTTGGTTTGATAAAAGAAGTTGACATTTTTGATTGCAGTTTGCTTGATAGTCAGAGAAAGCAAGTGCTGATAGCCGGAGAAAGCAAGTGCTGATAGCCTTCTTTCTTAGAAATTCACCATAGATATTCTTCATGTTCTATAGAATTGCCATAATTATGACAGTACAGCTTAAGTAGTTCGTTGTAATTTTCATCTCTGAAATATCTTTATTATAGATTAAATTTGGGAACTAGTTCCTTATTTTGGAAGCTACATTTTACCATCTGTGTCCTTCGGTTCCTACTTGACAGGGTTATGTATTAAGCTCTATTGAAGGCCGAGTGGCAGTTGAGTATTTGGACCCCAGCCCTGAGGTACAGAAGAAGAAGTATGCCTTCAAATGTCACAGACTAAAAGAAAATAATATTGAGCAGATTTACCCAGTCAATGCTATTTCTTTTCACAATATCCACAATACATTTGCCACAGGTAAAGTATGGTGTGCTAATAACTTATATCTAATTATTAAGGCAGAATTATTTAAAGAATTTGTGTTTTCAAAATGTTTATGGCAGATACCCTAGTATAGTACTTCTTGGGGGGAAATTAACTTCAGTGACCTTAAAAATTAGCTGTTTGTTGGGATGTTTCTTATTGTGTCTGGATTTAAGAATCATTTTAACTCTTTTGAAATGACTTCTAGGTGGCTCTGATGGGTTTGTAAATATTTGGGATCCATTTAACAAAAAGCGACTGTGCCAGTTCCATCGGTACCCCACCAGCATCGCATCACTTGCCTTCAGCAATGATGGGACCATGCTTGCCATAGCATCATCATATATGTATGAAATGGATGACACAGAACATCCTGAAGATGGTATCTTCATTCGCCAAGTGACAGATGCTGAAACAAAACCCAAGTGAGTATGCTTCACCTGTATTTGAGCCTTTTCTTGCATTCAACCCAGGATTTATTAATTTTTCTAAATTCATGAATAGCATTGTTGATGCCTGCTTGATATTACAGCTGACTGTAGGGCTGGAGTTGATTTTATCTTGTTCTCCCAAGCTTTCAATATCCGTAGGTTGATAGACGTCTGATGGATAAAATTGTGCCTAGTTGTTTTGTAGAGAAGAATGTCAAGCTCTCATTCTTCTTGAATAGGCTCTATTATTTGAATCTCTGCAGTTATTACTAGCTCATTGCTTCAAAATTAAGTTGAGGAATTCAAGAATAATTTATTTTGGTAAATTCTATTTAAGATATTTAGGAGTTTGAACTGCCAAAAATCTTTCCTCTCCACGAAGGTTGTTTCTATAACATTTACACAGAATGAATGACCTTCAGGTCTTATTGGAAACCCAGAGTTACATGGCCTTGCCTAGAATAGTAAATTTACTTCAGTTTGAAGTTTTCATAGATGTCTCTGACTTTAGGTTGGAACTATTGAATGAGAATAATAATTTTTTTTTTTTTGCTACCAGACTCTCAAAAGCTTTTTTACTTACTTATCTCTACTGAGCTTATGAGAGGATTGTTAGGCATGTGTTAAATCATAATAGCCCTACCCGAGTGACTTTGTCCTGCTCGCTGTCTCCCTGTCCCCGAGGTCCTGGAAGAAGGTTATCAATGCTTATGGAATATAGGAATGTTTTCAAGGTCCTGTATTTTCTGAAATAAAATGAATATGACACCCTTGCTAAATTTGTTGAGTTCTAGGCAAGAGGCAGAATGTTCAGTATTTAGTATCATATGCTTTTATAGGACTAAATTGAGAAAAGCTTTCGATTGTAAAGTCTATTGGATAAAGAACTGTTTGCATTTAATCTGTCACTTTTGTGTCTTCTATCCTGGCTGGCCATTTTGATCTCATGCTGTTCTTTTTTTTTTTTTTTTTCTTTTGAACTTGTAGGTCACCATGTACTTGACAAGATTTCATTTATTTAAATGCCGTGTTGATAATAAAACAATTTGTATTCCCCAACAGTGGATTTATTGTTATTTACAAAGAAACCAGAGAAATAATACTTTTAAGATAAGAATCTGAAAATAATGAAAAAGAGGTTTTTATTGATTTTTTTTTTTAAACTTATTAACAACTCCCTTAAGTGCATGAGATGGTTTGATGGTTTGCTGCATTAAAGGTATTTGGGCAAATAAAAATTTAAGGGCAGTGACTGCATTTTTGAGAATAAGTTTTGACTTTGGTTTTTGTTTCCGCTGTGGTGGTAAATGTTTGTAAATAAAAACAAGTAATAAAAATCCTTTTGCATTCTTTCTGGACCTTAAATGGGGGAGGAAAAGACTCTTGAGCCATTTATTTCTTTTGCTGGTTATGGTTGCTAATTCAAAGCTGCTTCAGACTGCTTCATGAGGAGGTTAATCTACAATTAAACAGTATTTCCTCTTGGCTGTCCATCATTCTCTGAAGCAGATGGTTCATCATTTCCTGGGCTGTTAAACAAAGCGAGGTTAAGGTTAGACTCCTGGGAATCAGCTAGTTTTCAATCTTATTAGGGTGCAGAAGGAAAACTAATAAGAAAACCTCCTAACATCATTTTGGGACTGTAAACAATTATTTATTAGCAAACAATTGATCCCAGAAGAGCAAATTGTTTGAGTCAGTAATGAGCTGAGAAAAGACAGAGCATATCTGTGTATTTGGAAAAATAATTGTAACGTAATTGCAGTACATTTAGACAGGCATCTATTTGGACCTGTTTCTATCTATAAATGAATTTTTGGAAACATTAATGAGGTTTACATATTACTCTGACATTTATATAGTTCTCTTGTCCATTTCAGTTGTCCAGCCGCTGGTGATTAAGGTTAAAAAGAAAAAAAAATGATAGTGAGAATGAAATTCATTTCAATGTAATGCCTTAAAGCAGAGCATGAGCTTAGCCTGGCGTATTCCAAGTAGTTCCAGTTAGTATTCTAACCTTTCATAGTTAGATATTTGACAACTTCTTTATTTTTAATTTGTATTACTTGTAAGTATATGCCTCTGAGTAGGACTTAATTCTTTACTGCATTGTATTTTTTAGGAATTCTTTTGATAACAAAGAAAGGGTCTTATAAGTTTTTCAGTGAAACCCTGTCAAAATCTGAACCAATCTTTTGAAATGTATTTTCTTCATTTCAGGTCCACCTAATCATCTCGTGAAAGTGGTTTCTCTATGGAAAGCTTTGTTTGCTTCCTACAAACACATGCTTATCCGATCCCTAAGGGATGACAGTCATTGTGGATATGTTATTTAGTATGTGGATTTCTCTGTTTTCTATATGTGTACTCTTTACTACCTTGTTCAGGGTGGTGAGTTTGTCCCTGTGCATAGTCTGAAGAAATTTCCTTTCCTGCCCCTAGGCAAGTCTAGTTGCTGTCAATGAGTGGTTTGAGCTTTTTTGTAGCAGAATCTAGACCTGTTATTTTCCTGCTGTCTAATAAATCAGATCCTGAGCCCTCCTGTTGGATTTTTAAATATTGGTAATTAATGTAATTTACTACATAAAAAGGCTTTTGTAAAACACACTGTTCATCAGGGGCAGATTGAGGATGACATTTTACCTTGAAGTCCACTCTGCCTTATTTAATTATGTATGCTCTGATGTATGTTGGTGATACAGTGGTGAATAAAGTGATCTGTTGGAATTCAGCCATTTCCTGCGTGCCCCCTCTGTGGATCAGCAGGGTTTTTGAGCCAACTATGCAGCTTCTCAGGACAGCCACAGACCTACTGTGGCAGCCTCTGGGTGCCTTTTGGCATGATGCTCTCCTAGCAGTGCCAGTTCCATAGAGCTCGTGTAGCTCTTACGTCCCTGTGCTGGTGAAATCATCTTCATGCAGAGAGCCAAATGACAGGCCCTTCTGGACTTATCCATCAAATGCTAAATCAGAGTGAAGCCCTTGGGATGGTAAATAATGTAATAGCCAGGGACTAACTGATGATATTGGTTCTTTGTTGTGATTATGTGCTTTTAAAAGTCATAACCACTTGGTTTGAGAACAGCATAAATTTGTTGTATAACAAAGGTAATTAGTATGGTACTTTTAAAGGTGACCAAATTAAAACCATGCTGTGGACCTGTCTCTGAGTTTGTGTTGGGGAGCTTTTTTGGTGGTTCTATCTAGATGTCCTCTTGTCTCTTGAAACTAAGTATGCCTCCTTGCCTGCCCTGAGTACTACTTAGCTGGCTCTCCCTTATAAGTGCCTGTTTATTTTTATAGAACCTTTCTCCCTAATTACTCAGGGATGCTAACTCATTTCATTGGTGTTTTCATCTATTCTTTTAGTGTCTCTTCTGTTAATCTTTCATTTCTTTCTACTGCTACTGTTTTTTGGTTTCTTTGAATAGTGCAGCTTCCAGTCTTTGCCTTTAGTCTTTTGTCTTACAGAGTAGTGACTTTCAAGCATGTAATCTGTGACCCAAGTAAAAAAATAACATTTTGGAGCTACAGTTTAGAGCACAAGCCATATATAACTGACAAGGGTGCATAAAACATTACTTGCCCTTTCCACATGTGATATGTATGGTGTGTATGTATTTTCTTTCTGTTTTTTAAGCTCCTTTTCAATGTTGGTTATACTAACTCAACTGATTTTACCAACAAATGTGTTGATGTATGCAGTTGGGAGAAACTGGATTTTTTTTGGGGGGGGGTTTGTTTTTTAATATACTATCATGCATGGATACTGGTGGCTCAGGCCTGTGATCCTAGCTACTTAGGAGGCAAGATTTGATGATTAGTGATTTGAAACCAGCTCCAGCAGGAAAGTCCATGAGACTCTACCTGTAACCACCAATAAGCCTGAAGTGGAGCTGTGGCTCAAATTGTAGAACCACTTAGCCTTGAGCAAAAAACAGCTCAAGTACATGGCTCCAGGCCCTGAGTTCAGGCCCCACAAGCAACATAAAGCTGTCATGCCATATTTGGAAGCTACTCTTCCCATTCTCATAGTAACCCTTTATTAACTTGCTAGGTCAAGGTCTTGTGATCCTTGGGAAGGAATTGTAACTGAGTTGTTTTCAGAATGGGGCTGCCCTTCATGTTGATGGGATGAGACAGTGATAATGTTTCTGAAGCCAGACTGTCTGGTTTTGATTTTGTTACCCTTTAAACTCTAGTGTTGGCTAAGGCATTTCCATGTTCAAGAATAGGATTCTATCTATGGTCAAACAATGTTGGCTTCCTTCTGTCTGAAACTCAGTGTGCATTAGCCTCCTGAGAGCTTGGTGAATTCTAGTAGTAAAGACATCCTTGCAAGTTTGTTTGACTCTGTGCTCCCAGATTGCTTTTATCCCAGGTCCACTCTGCAACTCTTGTACTATACCACTGACTGCCCTTGGGAATCTTAACTTGTTCCAGTCCCAGAAAACACTTGCACTCTGGTAGCGTGCGTGCTAGAGAGCTTGCTTCTCTGTAGTTGTTAATACTCACTGGGATATCTAGACCTCACATTCTGCTCAGATGTTCCCTCTTTCTAGGTTATTCTTTCAGGTTTTTTACTCTTGGAAGATCCTGGTCAAAATCTCTGCATTTCACAAACAAGTGTGCCCTTTTTCAAAATGCATATGAAGCACCTTTTAGCAATTACCTGTGTGCATCTAGCTCATGTTTACATTAGGAATAGGGATGACAGTGTTTTGTATATTCTGGCGCAGGAATGTGTGCCATTTTAATGTTGCTGAATGGTATAAACAGTCCCTTTTTCAAAATAATATATAACTGAAATACAGATACTCAAATGTGCTAGGTGTGACCTCTGGATTTATTATAAAATGGATATGGGGGCTGGGAAGGTGGCTCAGTGGTAGTGTGCTTGCCTTGCATGCATGAGGCCCTGCGTTCCATTCCTCAGCACCACATAAGCAAAAAAGCTGGAAGTGTCTTTGTGGCTCAAGTGGTGGAGTGCTAGCCTTGAGCTGAAGAGCTGAGGGATGGTGTTCAGGCCCCACTACCAATCCCCCCCCCCCAAAAAAAAAATTGGATGCAATAGTTTTGGAGAAATTTAGGTAACAATCTAAAACTTATTCTATGTCATCAGAATCTCTAATGGTAGGTAACATTCTTTTTAGCATAATTGACAATTATATATTTATATATACAAACCTTACATTTACACAAAAAATATAATGTGATGTTTTGATGTATTTATACATTGCAGACAGATTGCATTGTAAGTCAGGCTCTGGTGGCTCATGCCTGTAATCCTAGCTGCTTAATAGGCTGAGATCTGAAGATTGTGGTTTGAAGCCAGACTGGGCAGGAGAATCTGTGATACTCATTTCAATTAACCACCAGAAAAAAAAAGTGGGAAGTGGAGGTGTGGCTCAAGCACTAACCTTGAGCAAAAAAGCCAACGGCCCAGGCTCTGAGTTCAAGCCCAACTACCTACACACATACACGCAAATATTACCAGTGGGTTAATGTATCTATCACTGCATAGTTACTGGGTATAGTACTTAAGGTATACTTAGTTTCAGTTGTATACTTGTCACCATGTTGCCCTTTCGGTTTCTACAGTTTAGTCATCTCAGGAAATACCTACTTTTACCATTTTGTTATATATCCTTCAGAATATATATTTTTTTATTTCTCCATGAATAAATATTTTTGTTAACCACCCATGAAAATACCTGAGTGGATGAATTAGAAGATTTTGTTTGGCAGTACTAGGAATTGAACTCAGAGCCTTATACTTGCTAAGCAGGTGTGATAATCATTTAAGCCACACCTAGTACTTTTGCTTAATAATCTTTCAGGTAGGGTTTTCCCCTAGAACCACAGCTGAGACTGAAGTCCTCTGATCTATGCTTCCTCTGCAACTGGCAACACAGGCCATGTACCATCAAGCTTGGCTTGTTCAATAAGATGGGCCCTCACTAACTGTCCTCTAGCTTCATCCCCATTTTAAATAAGACTGGGCACATTTGAGTCCACATTATTCCCCCTCATGTCATTCCTTCTTTTTACTTAAGTACTGTGTCTATACTTTGTATGCACAATTTGTATCCTCATGCAGTCCATGTTTTGAAAATTTGAAAGTTGGCTTATATGGTTAACATTCATCCCAGAATGACCTGTCCATATTCACTATCAGGTGTAGATGATAAGGTTTGGTAAAGGTGTATAGACTTCTACACAGAAGACATAGCAGCAAGGTTGTATGATAGAATAGCTAAGCTGAGAGCCTTTTCTAGATCAGCCCCCATTACGAGAGGAATGAGGATGATCTATCCCTACCACTACTTGCTGGATCTTTCAAAGGTAAAAATAGCTAACCAAATCAAAGTTCTTACTCTGTCCCCTGGAAAAATGTGTGCATATGTTAATCATACCCCGTAAGTTAGATATATTAGACTACCTGTGCTGTCATTTAGGAAGCAAACACAGCTGTAGTTTTCATGGTTCTCCCTTTGACTTTCCCACCTTAGTCTTTGAAATGTCTCTGGGTAACCCATCTTTCACTTGGGGAAATACTGACTTAAGCTATTAGGCGTAGTTAGAGCAGTTTCCTTTCAAAATGGTACCTGGCTACATTGCTTTGGAACTAGTGCTAAGAGAAATGAAAGCTGTCGCTCCCGGTGGCCACAAATACCAATTGGACCATTGAGAACAAAGGCAGTTTCCCCTTGATCAGTGGTGTGTTGTAACAATGCTTTCATTTTCCAAAGATGCCCACAGAACTTGTCCTGGGGTCGCTGTAGGGCACTGGCTTCTTAGTTGCAAAGTATTTTGTGTCCTGATTGGGGGAAAAAAACCCCAAGAAGCCTGAAGGTAAACAGACTCTTTAATTAATACAAGCCTGGAAGTGGGAGAACATGACCTGAGTTGGACATTTATTTCCTATATAGCTCATGACTTGGCAACTGCTCTTCCAAACTCACTTTAAATGAAAAGCAATAGATTTTGTTTTATTTTCCTTGAATATACCAATGGCATGATTTTCCAAGTGACCCGATGAGGTGAGGAGGGGGGGCTTCACTGAAGGTTAGCAGGGTGTCAGACTTAAGTAATTGGAGGTTCATTTCCTTTGGTTTATTTCATTAACTAATTTCCCAAGGAATATTCTTTCACCTCATCACACTAGCCAACTATGTGCAGTTAGCACAAACCTGAAGAAGCCATACAAATTATACCTACTGGTCTCAGAAGCACCGAAGTTTGCTTTTCCAGTGTTGTAATGAAGTACCTTTCATCCCCTTTATAGGACTCTGTTATAGGCTATTGCAGTAATTTAAAACCTATGTACCTAGACTCCTGACCTTGTTATAACATCACTTAATAATTCTCTAAATACTTGGCTCCTGAAGATTTTCTTTGCACCAGCCATGTATTCTTAAAGAGCCCAATTTGTCTTCAGTCTTATATACTCCTGTATCTTCTTCTGCTGCTAAGACCATTGCCTGACAGCTTCTTCATAATTTGGCTGCTTAGCATGCCTTTGACTTATTAGCATTTTCCACTTAGCCTTGCTTAGAACAGTGGCAATGTGTGTCTTTATGGAGCTTTAGATGTAGAAGCACTGTTTATTCTTGGTTCGTTAAGGTTGCTGGGGTATTATGGAACTCAGTGGTCCATGAATGATTCAGGTATAAAGATGATGGCAGTGGAGGTTTACCATCACCACCACTAGCCTCCACACATTGCCCT